TAGTCAGAGTATTGTCATATTGTTTGTCATTCCCTAGTCAGAGTATTGTCATATTGTTTGTCGTCATTATGTCCAAGGTGTATAAATTCAAAGTATCTCCTAAAATTTGAATATAATCGGGCAAGGTTGCAGCTCTAAGAAGATCTAACCCTTGGATAAATACAATAGAATGTGAAAAACTTTATTTAAAAAAAACTATAGATCTAGTCGACGATGAAAATTATTGTTTGTTTTTGCCAATCTTGAAAGCTCTACTTAGGGGGTGTARCATTGCTGACATAATCCTAAAATATCTTGGTGTTACTTATATTAGGGACTGTAATGGACGTACCCCTCTACACTTTGCTGCTGCTTGTGGCCATGTTGGTATTCTTGGTTGTTTCTTACAAGTTACTGGTAGTGGTACGGTACTCGATGATCAAGGATACTTGCCATTACATTGGGCTTGTTACAATGGTAAGGAATGTGACGTTTCAGTGGGTTCTCTCAAACATAGAAATCTGCAGAATGATGGCGAATCTAGAGGATATAGGGGTCCCCCCCTTTCGAAACAAGTGATCAATGTTGCCATTTTAAAAATCCTTGATCCACCATTGCAGTATGGTGTTGATGATCTGTAGTATAGGCCATTTACACTAATCCCCCTTTAACAAAGCAAAATATAACTTGTTGTCAAATGAACCCCAGAAATGGATGAAAGCACCTCAGTCAAACTGCAAGTTATCCAACATGGCAAAAATGTCACATGTTCCCTAAGATCAACTGATTTTATAATATTATTGGTACATGGTGTTTTTGCATTATCCACTTCAATTCTGTTCCAAGGTGGGGTGGGACGGGATGGGATGAGATGAGATAAAATGAGATGAGTTGGGATGGGATAGGATGAGATGAGATGAGATGAAATGAAATATTAAAAATGAAATGAAATGAAAAAGAATTTAGCAGTGGATTTAGCAGTGGCATTTCCACAGAGCATCTCTTCATCCAGTGAAATTCCAATTGGAATTTAAAAGTTGATTTTTGCCGAGGGAGGAAAACTGGTGAACCCAGAAAACCCTCGAAGCACAGGAGAGAACCAATAAACAACTCTTCTCACATACTACACCAAGCTCAGCGGGACTCGAACAAGGGTCGCATACGCCACCCATGGTGATAAGTAAAAAAAAGATAATAATTCTTTGCTTTTTTTTCTGTTTATTTTCTAGAGCATGATACTTGTGTTGACATCCTCCTTGAGGTTGGTACTGATTTATGACTCGTGCATCATAAGGGGTCGTTCATTTTTACGGGCTTTGTGGGGCTGATAGGATGGGGGGGGGGGGGGGGTCACAAATACAAAATTTGTCTTCATTAAAGAAGCTTGTTGTAGAAAAATGGTAAAAACTAGCGATATAAGATTTATCCAGTTTTAATTGGGGCCACGTAAAAAAAATCAGTTTGGGAATGGGTTATACATGTTTTTAAACTTACAAGTTACGAAATCCCACCAGCCCTTAATGAACAGTCTCTAATTTTACGAGAGGTCTAATAGTTTGAATTTGTATTAAGTACAAAATGCATTTATTTGTGCAAAACTCTTAAAAGTTCTTTTTTATGTTACATCTCTTTAGAGTGAAAAATCTGAAGCATTTGAAGGCAACTCATTCTCACCCCTACATTGTGCAGTGTAAGTTTTCTAATTAAGAACTCTCATACCATCCGTGATGCAATGAAGTATATTGAATTAATAATCAATAGACCTTATTTTATTTTATTTTATTTTATTTTATTTTATTTTATTTTATTTTATTTTATTTTATTTTATTTTATTTTATTTTATTTTATTTTATTTTATTTTATTTTATTTTATTTTATTTTATTTTATTTTATTTTATTTTATTTTATTTTATTTTATTTTATTTTATTTTATTTTATTTTTTATTTTTTTATTTTTTTATTTTAGACTTTATTTATTTTTATTTGTGGTGTGACAATGTTTTCCCAGTCGAACGTGAGAAACCTCTGGGGGAATGAAGAGCTATTCACCATTTTCCATACATCGGTTCACTGGTCAAACACAAAGCATTCAGTCGAGGTTGCAAGGTTCAAATTTGAATAATCCTTTGAAAGTACCTTGACGCCTCGCTTGAGCGCTTTGTGTTTGACCAGTGAACCAATGTATGGAAAATGGTGAATTGTTTTGCAACTCGTCGAGATATCATCGTTATTCCTTTCGTATCCTCGATACTCATGAATTTTTCGAAGAGTAAAAGAAAATGAATCCTCTCGAGGATCGTCAAGCTGAATTGGGAAAACATTGTCACACCACGAATAAGGTCTATTATAACATCGCATACACTACACCATACCTCATTATACGGACTGACGAACGTACGGACGAAAAAATAAAAAATATTTATGTCGGTAAATATGTTTTGTTTTGAAATGATTTCTTTTGATCAACAGAATCAATGATAACGAATCTTGTGCAGAACTGCTTTTAGACACTTTAGGAGATGAAATTGTGAATGCAGCTGATTCCAAGAAAAGGTAATTAAGTGTTGCTCGTGTTGAAAACCTTGGTTCTGTATATATTTAGTCAAATAGCAGTCTATCGTCAATGCTGCGTTCTAATTGGATAAGCTACTACTAGGCTAGAAGTTTTTTGGGAGCAATGGATAATGTATCAACGTATTTTGATTTTTACTATAGCTTTACTTGTCTTCTATTATTTCTTTAATCTGTAGAACACCACTACACGCTGCTGCATTTAATGACCAGGTAGAATGCTTACAGTTATTAATATCGAGAGGAGGTGATGTTGATGCCGTGGATTGTATGGGTAAAACACCTGTGATGATAGCTGCAGAGAATGGACATGCAGGAGCTGTAGGTATGTATAGTCATAATACTGCTCATAGTAATGCTCAGAACTAAAAGCGTAAAAGGCCTTACTTCATAAATTTCTTTCTTTCTTTCATCCATCCATCCATCCCTCCCTACCTCCCTCCCTCCCTCCCTCCCTCC